CTTCCCGCGCCCCCCCCTGCAATGGCATTGCGCCCCCCCAGGGGGCGCGCCCCACACTTTGGGAACCACTGGTTTAATGTGACCATGCAATCCAACAAACTTTCTTTCCTCTTGATCAAGACGCTTTATTTTCCAAAATAAACACAAACTTAGATTTTCTTACCGCAATATGACGTGAGAGGCAGATCATATCGGCTCATTTCGTTCCTTTTTTGCCACTATAAAAACAACAATAATCAAAAGCGGTCAAAAACTGTATGGCTGCGCTGACTGAATCCAAGAGCTCACCCGGCCAATAGCCAACTCCAATATAATCCAGGTGCTGCAGTCACCTGTCCATAATGAAGGGGCGGAGGCCAGAAACAGCGTAAATTATGAACGGCAGCAAAACACAACTAAACAAATTCATGATTTCATAATTAAGTCAGTCAACTTATACTTCAAACCAAAATATTTCATGTTCATATATATCATACCAAAACCAGACAAAAATAGTAAACTAGAAATAAATATTCAATCATAAATCAAGCATTTGGCTCCAACACTGGTTATGTCACAGCTTCATTCTGTTATCACTATAATTTTTATTTATTTAATTTTTTTTGGTACATCTCTATGGCCTTTATTCTCTCCTTGAAAGGCAGTTGGAGTCGATTAATTTTAAAAATGGATCAACAGATTTTTAAACATCTAAAAGTGGACATCTTCAGATGGTCTGGCTGTTGACTCTGGGCTCCAGCCGTTTGCCATGAGCCGTGCCGTTCCCTCTATCCCTCAGCCTCTTCCGCCTCTTAAAGCCAAGATTTATTGTTGCACTTGTTTCAAAGTCCACCTGACAAGTCGTCTTTCCAACAGATAAATCTTGGGTTTGGCGGATGAGAAAAATAACATCTCCCTCACTTTAGTGTAGATGGGTCTTCAGGGAAAGAAAGCGAGCTCCCTCTCCTCTAACTGGGCATCCAGTAAAGGACCTCGCATCCATTCAGAATATTTATTTATTTATTTTTTGAAAAGAAAACAGATTTTTCTTTTTTACTACAAAAAAAAAGAAAAACAGAAGCTGTTTTGCTGTTCCCCATATATATATAATCTGAATGTTTGTTCACTAAAGGTTCTCAATAAGTCACAAAAACAATGAAAAACTTCTACCCAGATTTCTAACCTCCGACTAAGTGATATGTGGTTGAAAACAGAGCAGTTCATGAAGAGAAGTTCTGCATCAGGCGCAGCCATGTTTGCTTTTTTCCTACATCAGAAACTGTTGCAGGTCTTGCACCCAGACAGGTTTAAGTCACATCAAGTCATTAATGAAAATTCACTAAACAAACAACCGGAGTTGAGTCCGGATGAGGGAGGAGAGTTTGCTCGGCTGTAATGACTTTATAATTGGTGTTTTGTGACGTGTGTGTTTGAGCGCTTCCAGTCGACCCGCCTCACATCCATTTGCATAATTAGGAATGTCATCAGCCAAGATAAAGTGTGTGTTTACAATGACGCGCTGTTAGAAGATTCGTGCTTTCTGCTTGGTTGGTTCTGATGGGGACCAGACTGAGCTTAATGTGATCCTGCAGACGTCGCCGGGGCGACAGGAAGTAAAACTCCTCCTAAAGCTTCACACTAGAACCCTGCTGTTTGTTAGCAAATAATTTTTCTTGTTTAGGATGGATTACAGTTGACTTTTTCAACTTTAACTTCACAACTCAGCAGTTTTTTACTGGCTTTTTTTCTGCTAATCAAACAGCAGCTGTAAGTCCCACCACCGGTTACCCTGCAGAGGATAGATGTGAAATTTCTGCACTTTTTTTGAAATACATAAGTAGAATTAAGTATTTAAAAAGGAAGATGATTGAATTTTAGACGGTCAGTGAAAAACTGTGCATAGGAAGCAGTAAGATGCACATCAATTGGCACCATTTGTTGAGCAGAACTGGAGAAACTATTTATTTCTTCTGCAGGAGAAAAGTTCAGTCCAAGGCTTTAGAGTTTACAGCACATATTTGTCAACCTTAAACATAGAAAGTTTCCTCCATATTTTCTTAAAATGTTTTTAGCTAGAGATGTTATAATAGATAAAAATCCTGGCCTTCCTCAGATCTTCTGAAAGGGTCCGGCGCCATCTTTGATCCCTGAGGATTAAACATGAGAAGGTTTGACCAATCAGGATCTGATTCAAAGATTTTTCAACAATCTTTGGATTTTTAATGCCTTGGAAATGATTTTATAAAAAAATAATCATCTGTTATGACTGGCTAATATCTTTGCTCTGAATCAGTAATGAATGAATGAATGAATGAATGAATGAAACTTAATTGATCTCACAATAGAGAGTTTGACTTGTGACATCAGCTCTTATAAACAATAGAAGTTACAAAAATGAGGAAAATGTGCATGGAGTATATACTGTACAGTGCATCCAGATGTATACAGTGAGTGCTAAAAATAACAGAGAGCTTTAAGGTGACTTATATATACAGTATTTTCTGTATAGTAAAGTGGTGGCAGGTAAAGTGCAGTTTCTGGTTTGTTAAATAGATAAATAGTATAAGTTATTACAGTTTTATTCCACCAGATTATAGTGCAGTGGCATTGTATAATCTGATGAATGACCTGCAGTAGAGCTCCTGTTTACACACTGCATGTTTAAGACTAAAGGAGCTGCTCAGTTCCCCTACAGTCTGGTGCAGCGGGTGGAAGGTTTGATGATGCATAAAAGCTTGAACAGAATCAGAATAAGAAATACTTTCATGACCCCAGGGGGAAATCATCTTTCTTACATGATCCAGGTATGCAAACAACATGTTGCACACATTCATCAACTAAAGAAATAAAATACACCAAGTATTACAATGCAACTTGTATTTTATTATTATGTTGGAAGCTTGGACAGGACCCTCCTCTCAGCCACTGAGTCCAGAGTGCAGCTTAGGACAGAAACGGCCTTTCTGATCAGTTTGTTTCGTCTCTTTCTGTCCCGCTCTGCTGCCAGGGGCCCAGCAGACAGCAGCATAGAGGAAAGCTGATGCCACCACAGAGTCAGAGAAAGTTTTTAGCAGGCATGCTCACTCCAAATCAGTAATGATTTTTAGTTTCAATGAAATTGAGAAGCGACGCCTTATGACGTTTCAGATTTACAATCAGTTTCCATTAACATGAGAGTTGACCTGATATGAAGCTTTGATTTGATAATGTTGGAGGTGAACTTTACTCCTGTAAACGTGGAGGTTTGGGTGAAGAGCTGCTTCTTTTAGCCGTTCTGTGCCGATTGTTTCTTTGTTATTTTCCTCCACTTGTTGTCTTGAGTTTAAACTGTTTTGTGCAGAGAATCTTCTCCTGACTGACCTCCATCCCTTGCTTTCAGATCTCCACACTACGCCTGCCCAGAGGTGATCAGGGTGAGTGCTTTCTCTGTTCCTTCCTCTTCAGTCAGTCTCAGCTCTCTGCTCCTCTTCTTCATCCTAATGCCGACTGCAAAATGAAGCGCATCTCCTTTTTGTTTCATTCTCTCTCTTTTTTGAGGACTAAAACATGTTAGAGCAGAACTTTAACCCAGGATTTTACTCCTGAGTTTAAACAATCCCATTTTTTATCTTTTAATTGCAAAATTATTTCAATCCTTCTCTGAGTTCTGGTTGGATGTTTCAGAACATTTACCACCCATGGACGGAAGCTTCGGTGTGTCATAGTTGTTTTGTCCTGGTTTGCTTCATTCAGGGAGAGAAGTACGACGGGAGGAAAGCAGACGCGTGGAGCTGTGGAGTCATCCTGTTTGCACTTTTAGTGGTGAGTAACTCTGCAGCTGCTGCTGCATCATCACCATCAGGAGCGACGGCAAACACTCCGATCACTGAGGTGGAAAACAATATAAAACAGCAGTTATCAGATTTTTTATTATTTTATTTTATTCGTGATGCTTTACAAATACCATCTCTTATATCCAGGTCTTTTTCTAAGCCTTGAGATTTACAGTATGAAGTTGAATAAACAGGATTTCAGGAACTATTAAGTCACTGGTGTGATGATTCGTTCCTGCTGCACCGACCATCACATCCTGCAGGGTTTCATCTTTCTTAACCTCTAAGTTGCTTTTACTTCTTTATCTTGACGTAAACATGAGTGAAAACATGAGGATTAAAGCTGATAAAGGCTGAAATGACTCCAGATGACCCCGCTGGAGTCATCATGGGGAAAACCAGCAGGAGGAGGATTTGGTTCAGTTTGTGCCGCAGGAAGTTGGATCATCCAGATTAAGTTTTCCCATCCAGACATGAGGACCATGTGCTGCTCTGAGATCTTCTCACCTTCTTCCTGATTTCCTCTGAAGTTTAGTGACAGTGATCAGTGAGCTTTACCGGAGGTGAGTTAATTACAGGTCGTATGTCTCTCGTGGAGGCAGGCGTCCCTTCGCCATGATAAACGGAGCGGGAAGAGGTCCCCGCTAGCTTTGTTGTGATAAGCGTTGTCGTGTCAACGGCCATCTGGCTGCATCCTCCTCTTTCTGATGAGGAGGAAACGACATCCGTCATCACCTTGCTGAGCGGCTCCCCAGCTGGAGAACCGGCTGACGGTGAAACATCATGTCTGATGACTGATGGCCAAAACGAAACACTTCCTGCCTGACAGGCCGGGCCATGAGGTCCGACTCAGACAAAATACGGGCTTTATATTGGCTCAGGGTCATAGAGGGGTGGGATCCACCTGCCAGGATAATAAAACCATCTGGGGATGAGAAAATCTATTTATATAGATCTTTGCTTCAAAACGGACAAAAGTTTGTTTCTTAGCAAAGGAGCAATGCTCAGTTGCTGATCTGATGATGGAGATCTGATGAACAGATGCCACCTTAAGAAGAGAAGCAGCCAGAGGAGTCTGGGCTGGAGGGCGACCTTCCAGCAGGACATCCAAACTGAACATCTGCTCAGAGAAACATGGGCCAGAATGGCCTAGTCAAAGTCCTGACCTAAAATAGAGCAGGTTTAACTGTAATGTTTAGGTCTTAATAGAGCAAAGAAACCGTCTTAACGACAAATGAAAGGTTTAGACCTAATATAAATGATGTTTCAGGATGTAGCTCTGCTGTTTCAGGAGGAAAACTTTATTCTTTTGCTTCCTGGAGAGCTGGGATGGCAGCTTTCCTCTTATTTCATCTTCAGGTGTAAACCTTAAATCTGTGTTCATAGTGATTAGAATATTTCAGTGTTTTATCTCATGTCTCATGCAGAAAAGGTTCAGAATCCAGAAATATTAAAGCTGTCAATTATGAAGTTAAAACCTGTAGAGAACGATGCGTCTCTACTTTCAGGGCGCTCTGCCGTTCGACGACGACAACCTGAGGAACCTTCTGGAGAAGGTCAAGCTGGGAGTTTTCCACATGCCCCACTTCATCCCTCCAGATTGTCAGAACCTCCTGCGAGGAATGATCGAGGTGGACGCCACCAAACGGTTAACGGTAAGCAGACCGTCCACCTGAACTACCAGGTTCAACCGAACCACCACGATTATCTGAGCTATGACTTTTATTTCTCATGAATGTTTTGTGATGTTTCTTGCAGTTGGAGCAGATCCAGAAGCACACGTGGTATCTGTAAGTACATGTCTCCTCTTTTTATTTTCTTGTGAAGTGTGCGTTGTCTCGTTATTAGAGAGGATAAAAGGATGCTGAGGGATGATGATACTCTCATCAAAGGTTTTTTTTTCTTCTAAAAGAAGCCTGTCCATTAGTCACCAGAGAGAGCTGCTCTCATCACTATGATCTCTAATGGATTCACTATTACTGGGCCTTGAAAAGCTGAATAATGTGTTAGGAGAGGAGAACATCAACGCTCCTGACTTTTGTTCTGCTCATTGTGTCTCACTGGAAAGTTTCACCGTTCTCTTTCATTTTTTTTTTTTTTACAGTGTCCTGTCTGCTGATGTGGCAATAAGAATAATTGTCTTGATGCCAAAAAGAAACAGGTTTTGCTTTCACCGGTGGAGCAGTACGGCTATCGCCATAGTGTTCCTCTTGATTTATGCATATAATTAGTTTTATTGTAATTAATGCAGGGAGTTTTACAGATTATATGGACACTGCAATGGAAGTAGAACAGGAAAGGAAAAGGAAGAAAAGATGAAAGAAAGAGGAGATAAAAGGGAGATAATGATAAAACGTCTTCAGTCTGCTTCCTCACCTGCAAAGAGATGGAAAAAAAGAAAAAGGCAACCAACAGATATTCACTGTTCTGTTTCATTTCATTAAGATAGAAATACCCAAAAATAATTTTTCACCAAACCACCAAATTAATCCCGCCTTTTTTTGCCGCATTAAAAGAAGTTAAAAAAAAATGGCAAAGAATCATGATCCGGATTTAGGATGATTAGATTTTTTTTTTTAGTTTTTTCAAAACATTTTTCTTAAAATTTTCTGAGTAAAAATAATAGGAAACATAAAAAAGATCAATTAAAACTTTTAAAACTTTTTTTCATATAATAAATAATTGTTACCTGAGTTGTACCTTTTGGATACCACAAGCTTTAGTGTTTGGACCTGAATGTTTTACATTGAACAGGTCAGAGTTTTAATAGTTTCAGCAGAAAAGATGAAATATCCCTACGCTGATGACAGCATCTTGATTTAGTATATAAATATTAAATCTCTAGAGGGATGATTTTAAATTTAACTTCTGAGTGAAGTCAGATTTTATTAGTGATAAACAGTTTGAAGCCTAATTGAAACAAAAAAACATTTGTAATGTTGTTTAAAATCAATGTTATGTATTGGTCTAAACATCCATTCCATCTGAGTAAAAGCAATCCCAGATCATGACGCTGCCGCCACTGTGCTTCACTGTGGTTTTCTTTGTGTTGACCTAAAAGTTCCAATTTGGGTGCCTACAAAGGCCCTCCCAGATTTGAGCCAGACCTGGAGGCTTAGGTGGAATTAAAACCTTCAGGGTAGCATATGTGGTCCAGATACCTGGAGAACATAACAGCTTGGTGTTACAGGTGGGGCATCAGTATTTGTCTTTAATTCTGCAGCTCGCCTCATTGCAGCCCCCCTCTTCTGGAAAGATATTGTTATTTAATTTAAAGTATTTGGTTAAAATAATTCTGATTAAGTTTAAACTTTTCTTGGTTTACAGCTTTCAGCACCTTATAAACATTGGTAGATGCTCATTAAACTCTGGCTTTAGTCAAATTATCAAACAGTTGCCAAAAATAGTAGCTTCAACAAAGGAAAGCTTAAGGTGTGCATATTTTAACTTCTCCTTTAAGATTCAGCTCTGGAATTAGCTTGACGATCTGGTTTCTTCTGGGATAAGTCCAGTTTTTGACCCCACCCGCCTTGGGGAGCAGCAGAGTCCTTTTTAAAGGTTCCTTCCTTTTTGTTGCAGAGCTGGGAAAAACGAGCCTGAGCCGGAGCAGCCGGTCCCCAGGAAGGTGGCCATCAGGATGCTGGGTTCATCCGAGGAGATCGATCCAGACGTCCTGGAGAGCATGCACTCTCTGGGCTGCTTCCGAGACAAGGAGAAGCTGAGCAAAGACCTGCTGTCTGAGGAGTGAGTGACGAAGTGCATGGGTTTATAAAAACTGCAAGGCCTGCAGAGTTAGGGAGACGTTGACAGAAACTGTCAGTTTGATGAATTCCTTTATTCTGTCCGGCCGTGATGGACCGTCTTCTGCTGCATCTCTGAACCACGGCGCTCAGCTCTGTCTGCCCTTCTCTCCTCAGAGACAACCAGGAGAAGATGATCTACTTCCTGCTGCTGGATCGGAAGGAGAGATACCCGAGCCATGAGGACCAGAACCTGCCGCCCCGAAATGAAATCGGTACCTGAATCCTGTTCCATCCAGCTGCTTGGCTTTCAGACGTAGAGGAACCTAATTTTCTCTGCCTACAGTTTCAGTAGCTAAAATGTGGAGATGAGCAACATCTTCTGTCATCTTTCTGGGCTTGGCTCTAAATTCTACTGGTTACACTAGAATTTAGAGCAGATGAATCTGATTTAAAGGCATCTGTTGGATCGTGATGATCATATTTATTGCAGCTGAGGGGATCTTGCTCAGTTCTACCCATCTCTGTCTCTCTCTCTCTTTCCTGGACTCGGCCCGTTGGGCTCAGCAGACCCTCCCAGGAAGCGGGTGGACTCGCCCATGCTGAGCCGTCACGGCAAGCGGAGACCCGAGAGGAAATCGATGGAGGTTCTGACCGTCACAGAGGGGGGCTCCCCCGTCCCGGTGCGACGAGCCATCGACATGGCGACCCACGGTCAGAGGTGAGGCTGCGGCGGTTTTCATCTGCATGGTCGAGCACACGCCTCTGGATCAGAGCAGATGATGCGCCGTTTCTTCGGTGGTGCAGGGTGGTTTATCAGAAATGTATTGAAGCTGGGTTCATGAGAAACGGGGAAGCAGCTCATCGCGTTCTCAGGATGTTCCTCCGACTGCTGCGAATTTTTCCCTGCTTCACTGAACTGCAGTTTGATACATGACCCGTTCTGTTGTCTGTGTTCAGTCAGCGCCATAGAGCTGAAGTAAGCTTCTGTTTCTGAGTCGATTCTTTTTAGTTCTGGGCAAACGTCTCTGCAGCCGTGAATGCATGAACAGGATGTCCAGGTCCGTGTGTGGAGAGTGTGCATGGGGCATGCTGTCGTTATGAGGAGTGGACAGGAAATAAGAGGGTCTTGGTGTTTTGTTTTGTTTTTAACCAGTAATAAGAAAAAAATCATGGTCCTAATGTAAAAAAATAGAAAAATCTAGATGATGCAAAATACATTTAGCATTTCATCATTTGGTATTTCATGTCTTTATTCTGTTACAGTCAACCTTTTCTTATTTATAAGTTCAGCCAGTCTGAGTTATACCAGCTGTAGAGCACGGTGGTGGAGGGATCAGAATGTGGGCTTGTTGTCAATGGGATGTCCCCGAGACGAAGCCCAGGTTGATATTTGCCTTGAAAAACTTGAGTCAGAGCTGGAAACGTTTATGAGGAACCAGACAGATTTCTGCCCTCCACCTCATCCTGCTTTATCTGATCTGAAGGGTTTAATGAAGGAAGAGCTTTTTTTAGGTTCCTCTCATTAAGCTGACAGATGCAGTCATCTTGATGCCCAACATCCACTCTGACTGTTCAGATAGAGTCAGAGCCTGTGGTTCATCTGAATGTAGCTGCTTCAAAGCCCAGCATTCTGTAGAGCTGAGCAGGAACTGTTGTCTCCAAAGCTTATCCAACTAAAGTTGTCAGACCAACACTTCTTAAAAATGCGGATTTGCCAACAGTTTGAGCGGCTAAATAAAATGCAAAAAGTTTCCATCTAACCAACGTCCTGTAGTCTTAGATCTAACAAGGAGGTCTTTATGATCTAAGTGTGAGAGTTACTGCTGCTGAAGGATGTTCTACCAGCTTCTGCATTTAGTTTTTCACTGACTTTTGGCACTTTGGTTTGTTATTGTCTAGTAAATATATTGCATGTATAATGAGACAAGAATCCAGGTCTCAGTGAAACGGCATGAACAGAAGATAGAAAAAGAAAAAAAAAATCTGATTGTAAAGGTTATGGTTTGTTTTCTTATATCCAAGGTGTTCAAACTTCTTTCTGTTTGCATGATTTTGCTGTTTTATGTGAAATGAGCAAAAAGTCCATAGATCTGCTGATTCATCATCTCCTCCATGAGATGAATCATTACTAAACCTTTAAATAACCTGATGTTTCCATCCCTCCTCCTGGGACAGAATGGCATTTATTTAGCTGCTGCTTTGGTTTAAATTAGGATGGGATGATGATCCAACAACTGAGATGAATGAATCTCCTCCTTCACAAGGCCAAGTTGATGTTAGCCTCTGGTAGGTGGTAGTGATAAAGCACAGTCGGTAGTTTTAGAGAAAATCCCAGAACAAATGGAAAAAGAAAATAGAAGATTTAAAAGCTTTTTTGGACTCATTTCTAGAATCTGTGACCATCAGTGAAAGTTATTTTAGGTAAGTTATATAGAGGTCACTAGGTTGAAGTCTGGAGGAAAGTCCAGACTCTCGTCTTGGAAGAACCGAGGAACCACCAAGGCGACAGCGGCGTTGGATGTAGGAGTTTGCCCTGAAATCGAAGGTTTGACGGTTCAAGCCCCGGCTCCGACTTTCAGTGTCGTTGTGTCCTTGGGCAAGACACTTCCCCTGCATTGTCTACTGATGGTGGTCAGAGGGTGGCGCCAGTGTACGGCAGCCCCGCTTCTGTCAGTGAGCCCCAGGGCAGCTGTGGCTACAATGTAGCTCGCCACCATCAGTGTGTGAATGAATGGGTGAATGAATGTAGTGTAAAGCGCTTTGGTCAAGTCTCCTGACTTGAATAAAGGCGCTATATAAGTACAGGACATTTACCATTTACCATTTACCAAGGCCGTGAACTCTGTTAACCATAAACGGCCACATGTCTTCTGGAGGTGGATAACAGCGGAGCTTCTGGGACCAAACGGACACAACAGATGTCTGAAAGAGGATAACTGAGGGAAGAGAGAAGTCTTCTCTCTGATAAAGGAGGATGGTGTTCAGTAAAGGAGAAGTTGTTCAACTGTAACCTATCAGGCCAGTTAAAGTGTTGGTGAAGCTTTCCAACCTAAGATCATCTCAGAGAGACGGGAAACTTGGACCCAATTTTGTGTTCCAACAGAAAATTGGTCAAAATCATTTTCATTTCCTTGTTGTAAATTTCTCATACTTTTTCTCCTATCGTGGGATTTTACGAATCACCACATAAGAATTAACAAACATTCTTAACTTGGAGTAAATGATCCTCGTAAACCTGCTGTGCATGAGACATGTTCCTGAGAAATATAAATCTGTAATTACCGCCCTGATAATACCATATAAGGCTACGACTTCTCTAACTGTCAGAAGGTGGAAAATAAGGAAGTATTTGGGAGTGTTGTTCTAGCGGTTAGAGCAGTGCACTTATGCTCTGAAAAGGTTACAAATACCTGGATCGATCCCCACTGCCTCCACTCTGGGTGTCTGAGCAAGACCTTTAACCCCCGATTGCTCCCCAGGCGCCGCACAGTGGCAGCCCACTGCGCCCCAATTACTATTGTTATTATTAAAACTTTACTGGTTCAGAGATCGAGGTTCTTATGACTGAAAGCTGAATAGCAGAGTTAAAGGAGTCAAACAGTTATAGAAGGAAAAATAAAATAAAAAATATGAATAATCGTTTTATATAAAAACATTCAATGAAAACATGAGATTTTTCTGGGCATGGCTCTTACATGAGGCCCAAATACATCCAGAATGGTTTTAAAATGATGAAGTGTGTAAGCATTGAGTTCTGGAAGGCCACCCCCCCCCCCAAAGACTGGACCTTTAGCATGTTGGTGAGGAATGAACCAGAGGCCAGAAAACGACCAGTTTAACTCAAGCAGTCCTGCCCAGAGATCAGAGCCTTTCAATGGCTGCTGAAAGGATCATCCTCCTCATTTTGAGTTCAACTGTTTGCAGTTTTTTTTTTATACATATATAAGATGTTCACCCTGTAAAAAGAGAGAGAGTCTTTGAAATAAACCATTCATGCCCAGAATGAGTGGATGGAAACGTGGTGATGGGGTCCAGCGGGCTTTTAAACGCTCCTGCATGAATTTCCTCCTTTTTTTCCAGACTTTGCATGCATTTTTTTTATTGTTAAATTGTTGCTTTGGTTTTATTATTGACTCCAGTTTTAGGTTTCTCTGCTAAGTTTCTTGAATGCTGCACGCCACTCTTAAGCTTTCCCTTTATGTGACCACCTCTCCTCTCCGTCTCTTCGTTTTCTTTCTTTCTTTCCTTTTTTTTCCTTTTTTAGCAAATCTGTTTTCAGTAAAAGCTTGGATATCACAAACGCTAACTGCAGCAAGGAGGAAAGGTACAGCTCCGCTCAGTTTTTACCTGTTGTGTCCGTTTAGCAGCAGATATTTCTTCTTTAGATGTTTACAGTATTTTCCCCCCAGAGTCAGATGCTTGTAGCTGCTTTAGTCTGTATTGTTATTAGTTTATTGTTTAGTCCTGATCTGTTGTTTGGCTTTTTGGGGCAGAAAATGTTAAATCTGTGTTTCTCAAACTTCTCCTGGTCAGAGTCAACTATTAAATAGAGAAACATTACATTTACGACCACTTTTAATAATAATTATTATTGTTTTGTTTTACTGTGTAATAGAAATCAACATTGCCATCAGTATTATTTTTTAAATACCTTTCAATATTTATAGAGTGAATTTTGCTGTTTTTTTTATTTGAAATTACAAAAATGTAGAATCCAAATATGAAACTGAAATTTTTGTTTAAATAATTGTTAAAATACTTTGCTGTTTTCTTAGATTGTATTTTTTTTACAGATTTTATATTTGATTTTATTTCTGTTTTTAGGTAGTCTTATTTGCATTCTCAACACATTGTGTTTCCCAGATCCCATTTTAATGGTGCGAACGTGATCCATGCAACACAATATTCATAAAATCTGAGAAACTGGAACATTTACAATTATAAACTCTGTAAAAGTTAAATAATTTAAAAAAGTATAATACAAATTAAAATGCATTTGAAAAGAAAAATACATTTTTCTTCTTCAAATTTCAATTTACAGAAACATTTCCAAAATGCACTCTAAAAAAAATAATAAATAATAGGTATAATAAGTATTTCTTGATGTAACTTTTTTAGATTTATAAAATTCAGAAATGTTGCTGATAAATGTACTTTGGTTATATTGTTTTTATCCAGCATGTTTGTTGGTACTTTTAAAAATTCAGATGATGATGTCATGGCTTTCTAATCCTCTGATAGAATAGAATAAACTTTATTGATCTCACAAAGGAGAAATTCACTGATAGTGAATTCAAAAGCCCAGCTGTGGATTAATGGCTGGTTTATACTCAGAAACCCGGTCGTCTGCGTGTGTAGCAGTGAACGCAAATGTGCCCCCCGCCCCCTCCGCAGACACTCCGCTGCACCTCTCCAAAATTGTAGGTGAGCGCAGACAGGAGGCCTCTGATTGGTCAAATCTACATCCACTCTACTATTTCCTGTTTGGTACCTTACAGGCTTGTTTTGTTTGTCTGACCACGATTGTGGAAAACGTCTCATGAAGATGGACCAGCTAGCAGAGTGAGGTGCAGGAGAACGCTGGGACCCTTTTTCCACATGGATCCCCGCTCTTTTTGGCCCTCATGTCCCTCCGTTGTCGCACAAACTTGCCCCCACTTCCTCACCGCCTCGGCCGTATCTAGACCCACAGCTGGTCCGTGATCGTTCCTGTTGCGTTGTGGCGTGGAATAATATAGCGCAGACCATGCTTCAATATTGGGCATAAATAAAAAATGTCTGCGACGATCTCACTGCGACACACTGCTGGGGGAGGATAACCAGCACTTGATCCTACAGTATTCTTCCTGTCATTGTGGAACCTTTTTATTTTTATTTTTTAAGACCTCTGCAAAGAACAGGAAGTGAACCATAGACATCAACCAGTCCGGTTTATCCTGAGGTCTAATTTGCTCATCTATTTTAATGTGATATGCAGTTATAAACCCTGCAAAGCACTTGGCTCAGTTCTGGAAGGTTCTAATCTGACCCCAAAGGCTCTGTGTCCCAGAAATAAACAGGTTTGGTCTGAAATATGCAGGTTAACTCCAGAATGAAGTAGATCTTATGAAGATGCTGACTGAAGCTAAGATTATTCAGGGGAAAATGAATCCTGCAGCAACATTGGCCGGAGGGGCCGCTCTGTAAGGAAGAAGCCATGATTACAGTTAGAAAATGAACAGATTGTTCCTGCTTCGCATGTGAGGTTGGATCCACTCTGCAATATTTAAACTCTGCATCCTGCTCTATTTTCCAGTCCTTCATATTTCCATGGAGTTCTGATCAGTTTGATCCCTTCCGTGTTATGCTGTGAATGATACATATGAATTACGCCTCCAAAATGATGTGAAATTAGGAATCTGACTGCATTCTCTGTCAGAGCGGGAGGGGAAATACTCTCCTTATAATCTGCAGAGCGTGACTGATGACTGTATGTTAGTGTTTTTGCCGTTTGTTTCCTCTGTGGAACATTAAGAGTCGGCAGACGTCGTGTTTGCGGCAGCCTCCCTGTGCGGCCGACCTTGCGGCAGGAGAAACCCCGTTAGCGAGCCCATTTTAGTCCTGGATGCAGATTAGCATAAATTAATTGGCAGGAATGCAGACGGAGCGCAAACAGGAGAATGGAAATGAGGCGCTCAGTAGCCCTTTATCTCACTCATCATCTAATTGGAGAGATGTGTAAAAATGAGGCTTGTTGCACCAGCAGGAATTAATTTTGAGGTCTTGGAGAGCTGCCGGCTGCAGCATCCTGATGTTTGGACTGGATGGGTGTCACCGGTAATGAGTTTATGATAATAGGAGCTCCTCATGTGAAGTGGCTGACAGCGTGGACAGTGTCCCTGCGCTGATAGCGGAGCTGCATTGATGATCGGCTCACCTTGTGTTGGTTTTACAGCTGAAGGAGCTCTAATGATGAAGGCAGAGTTCTATCCAGGAGTTTTTCTCTTCCCCCTACATAATAAATGTCATTATGGTCTAGCTATAGCATTTTGAGGTGTTTGAAAGAGTTACCTGGCAGTTTAAACAATCATAATTATTGTATATTTATTATTTAATTTCAGACTGTTAAACCCAGTGATAAATGTTTGTTAGCAGATTCAGTAAATTAAAAAAATCACCTGCAAATCAAATCCAATAATTTGGTGATCAGAGTTGGACAAACAGGAGATGCTATAGCAGTTAATTTAGACAGATGTGTCAGTTTTATTGTGTTATTTTATTATGCAGATCTAAACTGTCTACATGAAAATAATTTTAATCCAATGGTTTGTGAATGCTTTGCATTTTTCGATGCTCCAGCTAAAATAAATGCAATAAAAATCATTAAAGCATCTAAATGCCAATTCAGTTAGACAAAGCTTTCTGTGTTTTTCCAACTTAAAATGTTGTTTCTGCAGTAAAGTGTGGGTTAGCTCAGGAGCCTGACACGTAGCTCGTGTTTTCCTGCTTCCAAATGAATCTGTTCCTTTTCTAATGCCTGTCATCGTTTTTCCATTTGAGGTCGGCTGTGTTTAATTATGATGTATTGCTTTCATTTTAAGTCTCCCTAAAATCAGGCTCCGTGCCAGAGCTTCGAAAACATCAGCAGCTCTGCATGTTTTCACAGAGATGACGATGATATTAGAGGAGGGAAAAAAAGAGAAGCAGGAGGAGAAAGGAAATATGAAAAGTTAATGACATGCGGATGAAAAATGGAAAAGCTCATGAGAAGAAGGAGGAAGCGTTGATGAATAAAGCATTTGATGCATGTCTGTGTGTTTAAAATGCTGACATATCCTAACTTTTTATTTACTCAGTGTTCATGAGACGGACAGAAGGATGTAAACAAATTAAATTGATCAAATGAATCGATTGTTAGTAGTGGATTAGCTGATAATTGAAGTAAATAGAGATTTTTATACTTAATGTTGCTTCTGAGCTAACAGCAAGTTTTAAAATAGACAGTGAAGAGGATTGTCTAATGGGGGGGGGGGGGGGAGCAACTGAACACCCCTGGTTTAGATAAATAAAACGTTTTAAACCAACCTGCATCGGGCTAAATGGGATGCTTCACAATTTTATTATTTATTTTCAGTAATTTCTATGGACTGATTAACTTTTTTCATTACTACCATCATCGGGTACTCAACAGAGACATAATGCCTTTAGTAAAGCATTTATTTTATTTAAAATAACAAAAAACAAACAACAATTGGAGCTTATGTGTCCCTGTGTGGTAAATAAGGATTACGCTTCCTTTAAGGTGCTGGCAAAGAAAAAAAATTACAAAAAAAACCCACTGGTTTGATTTAGTTTGGTCCAGTATTTTGGTCCAGTGGTTTGTTTTGTAACTTTTTAACTTATTTTAAAGCATAATCTTTTGCTACATTCACACCTAACGTGCTTTGAGCAGCAGCAGCAGGTGGTTTACATGCAAAGTCAATGGTGGACATTCATCAATGTGCATCAAAACCAGCGGCTCATGTTATGTGCGTGTTGCCCTTCAGAAGCTGCAGCTACTGTAGTTGAAAAAATGGAACTTTGGCTGCTGGACGCGCCGCATCAACCAATCAGAGAAGCTGATCTGGGTGGTGATAGAAAGACAGACACAGCACTGCTGATGCAGATTGCTATGATCCCTCCCCTAAAACAGTTTATTATTGCCTAAATTAACTTAAAATGTTGGAACCTTTTGGCAAAATATGTTCACTTTTAATATGATGGTGCCGGCACTCTATACCAAATACCAGAAAAGACCTAACATCTACTTCCAGCTGTCATCAACAGTAGGGGAAAACTGCCGGTATGTGGGAGCTGAGCGGCTCCTAAAGAGAAATGATATTTGAAGGCAGGATGGTAATCTGGATGAACTGACTGCACAGACCATGTTTTCAGGAGGACTTTCTCACTTAAAAAATATATTGAAACTACTTTTTACCCGTTGATAACAGCAAATATTAACCTGACTCCGCCAGATGGATTTGCTTCGCATTCCATTGAAGTAATTTTGGGAAGGGGCGAAAATACTGGTTAGCTGATTGGCCTATGTTGGTGATGGACGGGCCAAATAAACCGAAGATCAACGAAGCATATGACGTACTAACAGAGCGACGACGAAGAGGAGCCAATTGATAGATCAAACTCTTGCTGAAACCAGTCGGGAGAAGAGCAAAAACATCTTTTCCTCTGAGAAAAGCCTCCAGAGCAGTGTTTTGCTCTTCTTTCAGGGAAGAAATACTCTGTAATTCCCATAAAACTTGCTCGATAGCCACGCTAACGCTAGTTTCATCGGCTGAAGCCGCCATGTTCTTTAGACTGAACCGTCGCGCTTCTCGTTGCGTCACACCTCAACCCGCCTCAAAGCCAACGCTGATTGGACGTTCGTTTGGTGAACGGCTCCAAATTTTCTTCAATGGAGAGTCTCCAGACTGATTAGCGAGTGAAACCTTGAAAGCTCGCGAGATCAGGATGGTCTCATGAGGCTAAGTAAATATAGCACAGCTGCTCTCTGCAGGAGCAGCTGAATGATCAGACGCATCTGGACACACTTTACTGGATGTCTGACCTTAATGTGGAAAAACATCCAAAATGAAGCAGCAGAAGCGTCTTTGCTGCTGATTAAGGGGTTCAGTATCAAAATATTCTTAAATTATTCTACACACAGGATGCAGTAGTTTGTCCTGCACCTCTCCGCCTGTCTCATTCACCCAAAAGGCCCATGGCAGCTGTGGCTATATGCAGTGTGTGAATGGGGGGATAACTGAATGCAGAGAAAAAAGCTTTGGAGATGGATTTTAAAAGGTGCTATAAAAGTTTTTGCTTTTGTTTGTTTTTTTTTTAACCATTTTTACTGCTTTGGTACAGGCAGTTATCAATCAGATACACTAAAACTAAACTGACTGAGTGGCTTTCTGCTAGCTGTGGTTAAACAGCTCTCAACCTGCCAGTTTAGTGTGTAGCAGTGCATGTTACATTTGTTGCTGTGTTTATTTCCTCTGTTACGCTTAATGTTAATCGGACTTTGTTGTTTTAGGTCACGGTCGATCAGCGGGGCATCCTCTGGTTTGTCCACCAGCCCCCTCAGCAGTCCCAGGGTAAGTCTTCATCCCTTCATCCCACCTGGCTGGCTAGCTCTGCTGGTATGCTTTTAATACACACATACCTACATGCATCCACCATCAGCAGCCGCTTCACACTTCATCCAAGCCTGTTGGATGCAGAGCATTTTCTGAATGTTGGGACCTAAACGTAAAAATCCTTCTGCTCTGATAAGAGATGATGTTGTTGCACCAGCTGCTTCTAATTTTCTTATTGGAGCATTCTGGCGTCATTCAGAGCTTTAAACGAAGTGCTGCTGGATCCATCAGAGGCCAAGCTCTAGATGTGATTAAGTGATGGTCTGTTTATAGGCAGCCATCCCAATGTACCCAGCAGAACATAATAAAGCTGCTGCTGTAGAAAAGTGGATTCATCGCTGAACCAAAGGTATTTATTAATCAAACCTTCAGCAAAGGAGCAGAGCTTCAAACTGGGTCATAGTTTTACTCGTCAATGTCTTTTCTGCTAATTAGTTTCCTAAGAAGGAAGAGTTACAGCTATGGAATGCTGTGAATGCCCCTAAAACATAACAATTATAAAAAAACAAACATAAAAAATACTAATTAAGTCTTATTTACTGAAGTTTTTCACATTTCTGTTTGCACTTTTACCATTTTTATATTAAGTTTCTGAATTATAATAAATGATTACCCCAGTAACAAAGCATCATTTAGCATTATCATAAGGCTATATGATGCTAATAAGCTAAGTTGCTCTAACTGACTTTGTTGGTATTAAAGTAAAACACTAACTGACCCAAATGATCAGTTGATGAATAAAAGCTAATTGGACTTAATGTCACTATTAGTACATACGTATTTCACACATAATGACCCCATTGTCAAATTATATTAATGTGTTATTTTACCATCATTATAGCACAATGACCTTTATAGCATATTAACATATTTACTATCTAAACTCACTAATGCTGAAAAATATTAATATGCTAATGTATCTCATATTAGCATGAATAATACACTGGCCTCTAATTTACCCATATTATTAACCAGACTGACCCTTACCATGACCCTTAACATGCTAACTGACCTTTAAAATGGTATTAGCCAGTGGCGGCTGCTAGAGCTTTCCAATCAAAAGTATACTAAGTTATCACACTAGCACAGACTAGTATAAAAAATTTTTAAAAACACTTTATAAAAGCAAAGCATAATTTCCTTAGCAGCTTTATATTTTGTACATAAATCTTGCCCTTCTGAGACTTTGTGAATTCCAGATTGTTCATTCTTATTTGCTGTTTCTACAAAGTGCTTTAAATCAGTCCTAGCTGTCTTTATCCAGGCAGTCAATGCAACAGAATAAAGCATTAGCCTCGCTGCAAGCAGTTAGCCAAGCCTTGTAGCTAAACCAGGTCCTGGAAAAGGATGTTTCTTGCGCCATTTGTCTCTCTCTCCAATGTGTCTCCAACTCCCACGACTCCACCTGTCAATCACCTGGTGGGAGGTGGTGAGCAAATACACTTCCTGTCAGCTCGGGGCGCAGGAATGTCTTTGTATTGCAGAGGAGCTACTGCTTATGTACGCAGTAACGAGACTCAATGCGCCCCAGGATGGAAATAAGTCACCAATCCGACGAAAAATAAAGTGACGCTTTGCTTCTCATTTAAGATTAAATATTTATCTTGCACATCTAAAAAATATCTATTAATATATTTCGAAATATTTTATATATAATTTTAAAATTTATTACAAAAAACACCCTCTTTTGGCCAGCCGCCACTGTCATTAGCATAAATAATAATCTGATTAACCAAACGTTAGCTGCCATTTTATGCAGTGCGTGACCTTAATCCAGATCTTGACATATTTAAACTGCAAAGTTGGGATAACCAACGGATTACCAGAGCTTACCCATTATTAACCGTTTGAGTTTTTAATCTGCTACGTTACCTTACGTGTAATGATAACACACAGACTCTGGTCAGTTTATATTAGCCCTCAGCTGTTGGCATAACAAGCATGCTAACTGATCCACTGCAGGTAATAAATCAAAGTTTATGTAAAAAGAAAATCCTGATGACCCTGATGGGTTCTAGTGAGAGGTTTGTAAGGAAGACGTTTTTGGTTAAAAGTTTATTTCATGAATACAGCATCAACTCTTGCTTTTAGACTCTAAGAACAGGATGCTTGGTCTTGTGTTTCTGGTCCACGGAGGCCGGTTCAGCTGTGGGTTCTCTGACCCACAGTCATCCCACGGCTTTCTACATCAGCACTGAGCATGCGCTCTGGCTGCTCTCCCTGCTGGAGGGTGAAGCTAAATCTGTTAGCTTTCAGGCCGGGTCACTGAGTCGCTGCTGTTTCAGGGATGCACCGACATACCAACACTTTACATAATGGATGCTTTGCTGATGAATCTATGAAAAACTTGAAGTTACATTTGTGAAATCTAAACCTCGATTCCAGAATGAGGTGAATTCTGATAAATGGAACAAAACCGAAGTCGACCTGAATCAGAACCTGATTTGTGTTTAAAATCGGTGCATCCCTTCAGGAATGCTTCACTGCTGCTTCCTGATTGGCTGATCACTCTGCTAATCGCATGTTCTGTTTTTCTTTCTTCCTTTCTTACTTGCACTCTCACCGCCTCCTGCCTGCTCCACTTCTCCCACCATTTTTGTTACTTTTCCGGCTGTGTTTTAATCGTATTTTTTATTTTTTTTATTGGAATGACCCTTTTTTGGGGGGGCTGTGGTGTTCTTCTGGCTTTGTCATTGGCTGACCCTGCTGTCATGTGTCACGGTGCATGGCCAATCCCAGCCCCACCGGCGCTTTTTCGTCCCGCCCCAGTCCCCAGATCTGTGTCAGTCCCCCAACTGCAGCCCCACACATTCCCCTGAGGTCCGCCTTAATGGGGTGGGCTCCCGTGCGGCCAACTCCTACCAACCAAAAATGGGGTCCCCTCTCATGCACCCACGCACCCAGACCCTCCCTGCCAAGCCCAAAGTATCAGAGAAGCCCCTGCAGACCACCAGGTCCAACCCCCTGCCCAACACAGCCCAGGCCCCCGGCACCCCTAAATCTGATCAATCCACAGCGAGCCAGCCCCTCGCTCCCTCCGTCCCCAATAGCCCCCGCACCAGACGACACCCTCCCCTCACTGTCCCTCCCAAGCTGTCCATCCCCCTCTCCCCAGTGCCCCCTATGTCCCCGCTCCGCCGCCACCACCTTCACCCTGACCACAATGGCAAATCTGTCCCCATCACGCAGGTAACCCCTCACCCTTCCCCTAGAGGAAGTCCTCTTCCTACCCCAAAAGGCACACCCGTACACACCCCCAAGGACAGCCCGACTGGAACGCCGAGCCCCACGCCGCCGCCGAGCCCCTCCATTGGCGGGATGCCCTGGAGGACACGCCTCAACTCCATCAAGAACAGTTTTCTGGGCTCACCGCGCTTTCATCGCAGGAAAATGCAAGGTAGAAGGAGGGGGGAGTGTAATTATGTAAAGTTATGTATTTAAGTGCTTTTCATCAAACCAGGGTTCTATAGCTGCAGGGAAAATACAAAAAGTCTCTTTTTAGCTTCATCTGCAGCCGAATCCAGTCTTTGCAGCCTTATTCACACTAAATTAGGACCATAAATTAAAAAAAAAAGTTTTGTTTTTGTTTTTATAAAAAAAAAAACAACAACAAGAAACTAAATAAGAAACAAAATCCTGAGGATCTGAACCAAATATATCCAGCGGTTGCATTCAAACATGAGAACCTGAAATGTCTTAAAACATCATCCCCATATTTATGATTCTGTGACTTTTTGTTAATTTGATTTTTATTAAAAACTTTAAAAATCTAAATTGATGTATAAAGGTTTTTTTTTTTTCTGTCGTCAAAAAGGAATAAACAAAATTTTCGTTTTCTGGGTTAATGAAATTAGCTGTAAAAAGAAAAGGGTCGATTCTTTTGTTTTTCTGTTTTTTATTATAACCAGAACGAATATGCTCACTTCCAGATGTTGGCATGAAAATGTTCTCATTTCATCAACTGTTTCTGCCTAAGACCAGTCAGTAATCATCCACTCGTCTGTTAGTTTCCCTGTAGGGAGATATGCCCAAAATGTTCCTAAGGCAGCATGTTTAACTTTTAAAAAGTGCGTAAATGCAGGATTTCACCACAAGATGTCGCAATGCTGCAGTGCGTTGTTTTCACCACTTTTACAGGAATGTTTGGGAATTCAAGAACGCAGCAGACATTAGCACAATATTTATAGCCTGAATTGTTTAGGAAAAGTGGACCGACGCTGGTCTGAGGATTTACCTCCATTAAATTAAATCTTATTTATTAAATTAAATCTAAGCTGGTCAAAGCATTTTAAGAAAATATTTATTGTTGCCATTTTGAATACAACTACCATTCATAGCTTTTAGGGTAAAATATTGGCTAATATTTAACTATGTGTCTTGGTTAAAACAAGAGATTTAAAAAAAAAGTTTCTCAAGCAAACTCTAAATTCTAGATTAAATGTTTAGTTTTTGAGAGGTGTTTAGCTAGGTGAGCATGAAGCCTAATTTAAAGCCATCTGTTTAAAGAAAAGCAATTATTAAATCGGTTAGCAACTGCAATTCTGCATATACATCAATAATTAGGACAGAAAAATGTATTGATAAAACTCAAATTCCCAGCATGCACTGCGCAGCACAGTAGCCAAACTACAGTAGCAGTGACAGGCTGTTAACTCTTTGAATTACATTGAACTGTGATGGAGGCAGGAGTCTTCTTACATCTGCAAAGTATAAAATTATCTTGATTCATGAGAGTGTCTTATACATGGGCAACCCTAGACAGGGGCCCACAGGGGCCCACAGGGGCCCACAGGGGCCAGTGCTCCTGTGGAACTGCTTCTGGCCTCTGTTATGGCCCCTACATACAAAATATAAATATCAGATATAACAGTAATTTGTAAAATGTGCAATTAAATCTACCATTAAATAACTGAAAACATTTATAAAATTATGAATTTACCAATTAGATGGTAATTATTTATTATAGGGTGTAGAAGTTTCTAATAAATATAATTTAGTGCTGTCAATCGATTAAATTTTTTTAATCGCGATTAATCGCATCAATGCCTAAGTTAACTCGCGATTAATCGCATTTTAATCACACATTTTTTTTCTGATTGAAAATCATTTAAATACTCTCGATGACATACAAAAAATACATACAGGTTAGTCTTGTGCCAATGTTTTTTTTTTATGAAAACAGGTCACAGATACTGATTTATGCCATAGAAACATATGGCAAGAAGATGTGGAGGCATGTAGCA